GCAGCAGCTTACTGGAATCAAACAGAAACCACAAAAACCAGAGAAATTTGCCTTGGTAACAGAAATATATACATTTGCTCCAGGATAAAACCAAAAAGTTCATAGGCAGAAAAGGCTTGTTCATTCAAGTTTAATCAGTTCATACACACAAATAGAATTAGAGAGTGGCAATGCCAATGCAACAACGAACAACATTAGCAGATTCAGGACCCCAACAATGCAATTTAAATAACACGACTAGAACCATGTCAAACCAAATAGGAGCATCTACCTACCTCTTATATTTTAACAAATGAGATGACATCACAAATACCCCCCAACAAAATGATAACTTAGCCACATGGTTAAACAATCATGCCAGCAAATATTAGAAAATATCTTATTTATTGACAACTTTATTTATATGTTTCATTTTCCTTCAATTCTGTTGACTGAAAAAAAGGACCACTTTGTCAATCATGAAATTGATATGCTAAGAAATAAATAGAAAAACCTGTCAAACAAACCAAATATTCTATTCTTCCTCTTAAGTACTGATGTAAGTTAAGTTTCCAATAAAAATATACATAAATTAATGTGTTTGCTCATTAATTATAGAATGTTGAGTATCAACATGGCAACTTTAAAGCTTTAGTTACCATGTTTTAAGTATAGCTTGGTCTGGGTAAAATGTTCATTATTTACATCAATAAATTGGCCAAAAATTGAGGGATGTTCAAGCTCTAAGTGCCCTATTCTTCTATTCACTCTAGGCTCGCCATGTCAATATATGACGCACCTGCTATATGAACTCAGCATGCAAAAACTCATGGGTACAGGATAAAGCTAGCATGCATGGCATCATAACTTCATACTGCAGGGTTTTGCTTTTTGCTTTAAAAAAACATAGAGAGTGTTAAATTCTGCCCCAATAATAGGTAATGAGGACTTATAAAAACAATATATTTCTTTTAACATCTCAAAAAGGTACTATCAAAATTCAAAGTGAAAAACTTGAGAGACAACATAGGAAAGAAAAGAAAAGAGTTAAACATACTGTAAGCCTCCAGCAATGCAGTGCAGCAGGATGCAGGCACCGGGGATGAGGGTAGCTCCCTTAGCACATGCTGCAGATCAAACACCTCAGCTGATTAAGGAACCATGACATTAATCTGATAATCACAAATGGCATAATGTACTGAAAAGAATTACCTTAACACAGTCTCCCACAACATGAGCATCCTCATCAGAACCAAATTCAGTCTTGCCTAAATTACAAAATGGAAGACAAGAAACACAGCCTTAATTTGAATGGCATGTCAACAAAATAACTTATCCACAAGTAATGTAAAAAACAGTTAAGAAATCCAAAAAAGCAAATATGTGGATATTCTAAAATAATCATCAAGTTGAAATGAAAAGATACCCTGTTCATATTCTTGAACTCTGTGATCAACCTCCTCAACATCTGCAGACTGACGTAGAATTCCCTCAACTTTAGTTCCTGTTGTAGAAACATCATAAACAGTAAGTGAAAGTAAAAAAGTGTAACAAAGAAGTAAGAAAACATTTCTTCACTCTTATCCTCTTCAGGTCTCTTCATGTAATCAGTGAAATTCCCAGTTTGTTTTTAAAAAAAGTCCCACTACAAATTAGTTTTATAAACTCAACCAGATCATAAAGTTTAATTACATATCCAAACTATCCTAAATAGACGGAATACCAGAAGGGCAATTGCTATTGGGGTTGGGCAATCTAGCCTAGAAAATGGCTCAGAAGTTCAGACCTAGAATGAGATAAAAACAATTGATGATCAAAAGAGCATCTGCGCAGAGAAATTTTCACCTAAGTTCATCAAATTTTCACATTAATTAGAAAAGAAAACTGCCAGCCTTGCAAAGGATCATAATTTGCAGACATAGAAAGACATAGGATCCAGTGCTACATTAAAATCAAAATATCAGCAGCTGTGTGGGTGGAACGATGGGGTAACAAAAACTGTATTGCCAGTTTCATTTTAATCCTTAATATATTTAATTGAAGCAACACCAATCTTACGGTTGGCTTCTATTGCAATCTGGACATTTGTGCATGTGGGGGTGTGTGTGAGGTCAACCCAAAACCTCTCCACCTGCTTCTTTCAGACCACTCCCCATCTATAGTCTACAAAGAGAAAACCTACATAACCAAGAGATCCTTACAGCAGCAAAATGTTTTACTACATGAAGCTATGGATATCTATGTTGTAACCATATGAATTGTCATGCACCTCCCCTAACTGTTATGATCATAAGAAAAAACCAATTTCTAAGATCAAGACTACAAAATTTCTAGAGAAGACAACAGTATGCAAGAAGGATTTGCTTTCCATAAGAAATAACACAACACCAGAAAGAATAGGTCAGTAACATATTTAATAACAACTTAAAATCACCACTAACCAAACTTCTCAAGAAACCGCAGCGCTTTCTCTAGGAATGATGGGCTCCCATCAATATCTTCAAGTGCAAGCAAAATTGGTCTACCAACAACCAACGATTTAACAGTGCGTTTGTCTCTCCCTAAAAAGAATCGGAAAATCTAGTAAAGTGAAGAAATAGCAGAAGAATCGGTCGACAATCGATGGTGATCATCAAATAAAAAAGAAGCAACTATGGAAACAAACATTGATGGAATGACCCTTCAATTGTATCACTTGTGTCATTTCGGAAAATCCCATTGTGTCCCATGACGAGTGCAGCACTTGGCGCTTGTGCAAGCGCATGTTCTAGGGCTGACTTCCACTCATACAAATCCTCTGACGTCTCTGCCTGAAAATTAGAAGCAACAAGGCAGGTATTAACTTGCTGAACATTTTCTACAGGAAAATGACAGACTAGTGGTCATTCAAATATATCCAAAAATAAACAAATACATAAAAAAATAACTGAAACAATATTCAACTACAGAGGAAGCACCTTAAGAGTAAAAGCCCGTCCATCACGTCCATCAGGAAACAACACAGTCAACAATTTTTTATCTTCTCTAACAACAACACTGCAAACAAGAGCGACTATAAGCAAGACTAATGTGACACTATCATAAAAAACATACAATGACTATCCACACCTTCCAGAATTATTCAAGTCAATGCCCCCCAAAGTCAAATTAACTTCACCACCCCTTTGTGGTAGGGCACTCTGCAAGAAAATTATAACAATAAGCATTGTTTCAAGTAACTCCTGAAAATAATCTTCTAACAAACATTCAATACATAACAAGCAAGACAATGATCAGATTGTGCTTCTCTGTGTAGGAAAATATAGCAAAAAGCATTTGCTTCAATTAAGTACAGAAAATAAGACCTCTAACCAACATCTTAAAAAGTGAAACATGAAAATTATCAGTCTCTTCCCCTTTCCCTCTCTCTTAAACGAATTTGAGGGGAGGGATGGAATACATAGATAGATCAAATCATATAATCAATTGCATATTCCCTAAAACCACATGCAAAAGCTGAGAAATATAATGTTATTTCCATGCAAGCCACAATGTTGGACTAGCGTGAAGATGAAAACTCCTAATTAATAACTTATGCAGAGGGTAATTGAGACTTCTCTCTTCAGTCTTCACCTTTTACCTGTAGGATAAGGGGGAGAATTGTAGACAAAATCATAACGCATTCTTTTCTCATGCACTGAATATTTTACTTTCCCCAAACCATGCTTCATAAAGAGTGACATAATAAGTAATTCCATCCAAACCACAAGGTTTCCTCTTACAACTAAAATAGAGACTTTATTTCCTGATAACATTTGTAGCGTGTGTTCCAGGACGTTAATAGGATATTACATCATGAGGAAGCGCCATGCTTGCACATAACCATATCCATAGGACAAATCTCAATAGAACCTCAAAAATGTTACACAGGAAAAAAGAAAATCGTGTCATGCTAAGGGTGATAATTCATAAAGTGCCCTACCCTCTAAAATGGAAAAGGTGGCACATGTGGTTGCAAGGTCAGAAAGGCACATCCTGTACCAAGCCACAGTTCCTTCCCTAGCCACAAAGTGAAGACATTCAACTCATCCTAGTTAATCATACTGCCTCACTGGGTCAAAATTCAAGCTTTAAATTCTGCCACCAAAAGAGGCCATCAATGGTGACACAGCCCTTAAGAGTGTCAGCAAGAGGATAGTAGGAAGCAACTCTCTTCCTACCAAAAGTTGTTACACGTATTCACCCTTTGTAATGTGTTGCAAACCATGTGTCGATTCTCTCTGAGGTGACAACGACAGGCATGTTCAACTGGAAGGACAGAAAGGCTTTTACGTTGAGAAGGTAAAACTCTTAACCCCTAAGACAAGGCACTAAAG